CGGCTTCTCCTCCCACTGTATGATTCTAAATTGGAATTGTCAACGAAAAGACTTCAAGTGGTGAAAAAAAGCAAGCTATGAATAGCTATAACTAAAATTTAAGGGTGGACTTTGGAAACAATATTTATTTATATTCTTGTAGAAAGCTTTTAGTGATAAGGAGGCAAAAAGATGATTTGTCTTGCCTAGTTATTTGGAGTACGTTTCTCAGAGTTTTTTTCCCCTTTGGAAGAATAGTTTTTTTTTACCTTTTTTTTTTGTTACTGTCGATCAATAATATATGAATAGAAGATTTTTAAAAAGATTCTTTTTTTTCCAGATCTGGAAAAAAAAGACTGAAACTGAAAAGTACTCTTTGAAAGCAGCGGATAAGGACAATTGCCACAGATACTTTACCAAATGCTTAACAGTAACTTAAAATAATGAACCCTTTCTATAGAAAGCCCTTTCAGCAAAAGAAAAGACAGAAAGAATTCAAGTGTTTAAGGTTTAGAAAATAATGTGAAGAAGAAAGACGAATCTAAAGAAAAAAAATGAAGAGAAGAAAAAATAGAAATAAAATTACACCTCAAAAACATTTATTGTGTTAGCCAACGATAAAGGCAATGGAATAATTGTCATGATATAGGGAAGTAACCTTGTGGCAATAATTAAAAAAACGTCTTTGCTAAAGACCTTTTACTCGGCCTTTTCCATTTTTTTTTTGTACATACAAATCACAACGGGTAGCACTTGTTGTCTCTCAAACATGTCAAAAAGGCAAGCAAAAAAAAAAGTGTCATCATAATTGCAATATTGATATAACGGGAAAATATTGTACTTGTCATAATTTCACCTGTTTTTTTGTTAATAAATAAACTGCGGTTGATCCGAGGACTCCCTCTCTTGACGGAGGAGCTCGTCTTCCTCAGCGCCCATTCGATATACCACAATGCTTTCAAGTAATTTGTCAAAGACATGCTTGAAGTTTTCGCTGTGGTAATCAAGTGATGTCTCCAAAACCTTGATTCCACCCATATCGTTCGGCATAGGGGGAATCACCCCCTCTCCCATATCGCCCTTGGGATTGGTGGAATGATGAGCAAAAATAAGGCAGTGCTCATCACGCACGCGGTGCACACTCTTTCCCCCTTCCTCGATCTCGTTCTGATTGATGGCGAAATTTTTATACCAAAGAGACAGCTCCTTTGAGCTGTTTTTGATCTCCGGGTTAAACACAAAGATGATGCCATCCGCGCGATCCGCGACCGCGGGCCAGCAGGTCTGATGTTTCGGGCTCCCGCCAAGGTCCCAAAGCTGCACGCGCACGCGTTTGGTCTTCGCATTTCCCCCCGCGAAGACCACGCGGCGGTGGTCCAGTTTGACCGACTCCACGGCGAACTCGCTCTCGATCACGCGCAGCGGCCGTGTCTCGTAGTAACGGCTGCTCGGGGTGTCGCGCTCCGCGCCGAGGAAGTTCGCGATGGTGGTCTTCCCGCTCTTGGAGGGGCCCAGGAGGAGGATTTTCACGACCTCGTCCATCGGCACTGGGAGCTTAGGAAAAGAGAG